TATATATATTCTAAATTTTTACACCTATTTTCGAAGATTTTAACACATATATAATGTTTTAAAAACATCACTAAATTGAAAGATCTATTGAATGCGGCTGCCCAGACATACCAACAGATAAGTGTTTCAGTTTTCACACATTCAACTAATTTTAAATATTACTGCAATATACATATGTTCTAAATTGAAGGCCTGTTTATGGAATATTAATCTCTTAGTGCATATTATTATTTTGAACTGTAATTTTGCTATGGATATATACTCAGATTGTGGTTTTATGTGTTTTTGCAATGATTATATCTACAAAACATTGGATATTTAAAATGTTCGGATTCTGCTATTAATTATTTTGTAAAACTTTGAAGGTTTTGTGTAATATGAACATCATTTCAGTAAAATAAGTACATGTTCACAATGAAAGTAATATTATATTCTAAATTTCAAATTCTAATAGTCTTAACAGCATGACAATCACATGTGCAGGTACATAAAATGCTAACTTATTAACAACTTCAACAGAAAAGATAGTTGACATTCAAAAACGTACATTAACAGTCCAAACTTACATTACCTGTACACAAGTATTATTTTATTGTGTATGAATTTCCATCTAACATTTTTTTTTGCCAAATATATGTAGGGGACAATAATTCAAAGTTTGCTGAACTGATCAAGGAAAAGCAACGAAGTGTTTAAAAAAGAAAGGACATAAGTGATGGTAAAAGGTGACTCATTAATCGGTGATGCTAAAAGGTAACTAATTCTTATAATTTGTGTACCATTAGCTGTAGAACCTTGTGTACCATTAGCAGTAGAATCTTGTTTGGACTTTTTGTTGCCCAATATGCTGTAGCCGCTGGATAACCGTTTCATGTTTGTTTGGATTTGTGTTGAATCAACGTTTTTTGACTTCCTGCTCTATATGAATGCTTGTGTGCTGAATCCAACTTGTTTCTTTGCTTTTATACTCTTTTTGCTTGGTCTTCATGTGCCATTTTGGTGTCTGGCTGATGAACTGCAGAAAATGCAAAAGTCTAGATGATGTGTTTTTGGGATAAGTACACTAAATAAAGTTTTATTTGTATATATAGGAAACAACATCATCTATATTTGGTAAATATATTAAGTGCATTTGTTATCTTTAATTGGGATTATTGACCGAGTTTATTGTATTTGGAAGGTATTACATAACTGATGTATTTCTGTAATTTCTGTAATCTCTATGACTGCTGAAATCATGCTTTCATTAAATTGAGTAAATTCATTGTAGAAAAAGATATGTATTTCAGTTAAAAGATATATATTTC